CAGAATGACATTACTGCGAAATTGTGCGAAAGTATATACCTACTACACGTGTGTGTGTGTGTGTGTGTGTGTGTGTGTGTGAGAGAGAGAGAGAGAGAGAGAGAGAGAGAGAGAGAGAGGGGGGGAGAGAGAGAGAGAGAGAGAGAGAGAGAGAGAGTGCTTTACAAAGCTTGCTCTGGACTTGATGGTGGCGTATTTGTTTGGGCCGGTTGCTGTCCATTGGTATTATGATGGCCATCTGAAAGATTGAATTGTCTACCTTTGTGTGTTGTGGATTTTTTATGAGTGCAGGCAAGGCCTTCTGACAATGATCGCTATGTTCGCAACTGCCGGAATGGGCGTTCTCCTAAGGAGACCCGCTGGTGGTTTCATGACGACAAGGTGTAGACGACTCCGGGATGGAACGAGGAATTTCTCAGAGCGCCCACCTTCGCGAACTCTGCTTCGTGGCAAGTGCAGTGGTCGAGAATGGATTGTTGGAATGAAGGGTAGAGAAGTACGTAGAGATGTATAACACCGAATGGCTTGCTAGGGTTCTTGTCTGCTATCGTTGTTCGTCTTTTCCTATCTTTCATGAGAACATAGATGCATGTTTCACGTCATTGTCATGGAGGCGGAGGGGGCATTTGGGAGGAGGCTGGCAATTGTAAAGAGTTGACGGGTTGGCGCTTGGCTTGTTTGCCTTTGCAGGCTAAGCAGAGTAGAGTTGGAGGCAGTTGCGAGGCTTTTGTTGTCTTCCACAGGTCTGCCTCACTCAAGCTTTGAGTGCTCGATTTGCGGGCTCTGGAGTAGTGGGCAGCTCTTCGAATCTTGCGACTTGTGTACAAGTATGGATCGGGCTTACTTAATCCCGTAAAGGAGTACAGAGCAAGCTGTGATGTCGGTGAGTTTGTCGACTTTGTCAGAGCTGCTCCGCAAAACTAATCCCGTAAATATGCAGATGTGATTTATCTTCTCTCCTCTCTTCTTGTGTTCTCCACACAAAAAATCCCGCACCGAACCCATTCTCGTCATCATTCTTCCTCCATAGACGCCTCTACGAAGTCATAAAGCCCGGCCAGCTGACTAGTTTCGTAACTTCGTAGGCTTCCGACCTCGCATTACAGGTCTGGAAGAATTTAGATGGGTGCTCTCTCTTCCTTCTAGTGCCGGCTGGCCTTGTTGTTGATATAAAGCTTAAAGTGAGCATTTGGAGAGATCCCAATGGGCAGTCGTCTGTGCTGCAAAGGTCACATCACGCGGTCTTTTGATTCTTTAGACCCCAAGCCTGCTTTGAGTGTCTTCACTCTCCTTAGCCAGGAGCAGGGAGACCTGCTTTCCTGATCAGATGCGGTAGGTGTAAGTTGGCAATTGATTGCGTCATGTGTCTGCGCTTGAGATTTGCGGTAGGAGGGTGCCGGGGGGCGGGCGTTGATGATGTCTGTAGTTCTGCTGTTTGTAGAGAACCATAGATGGTTTTGATTGGTATCGAGTTATCGCTGCTGTTCTGTCAGAAGGAGGGAAGCAGTAGAAAACCGTGCCGAGCTCACAGCGGAGCTTTCCGTCGCGCAACAAGATGTGGTATGTTGCTGGAGGATAGCGCGAACTGTGGCGACTAGAGTCGCTGCACTTTTGCAGCATGCCCATGCCCAGTGTTGAGCTGATGGAAACTCTACCAGGTCTGGTTTTGCTGGAGGATAGCGCGAACTGTGGCGACGAGAGTCGCTGCACTTTTGCAGCATGCCCATGCCCAGTGTTGAGCTGACGGAAACTCTACCAGGTCTGGTTTGTGGTACTGTAACATGGGGCGTGCTTGTGGTGGCTGGCTTGGTTGAGCTTGGGAGGGCGGGGGGGGGGGGGGGGGGGGGTATTGGTGCCGGGGTCTTGCAAAGAAACGTACCTGCTGCTGTGGTTGTGAAGAGCTTCGTTCTCAGGTTTCGAAGAAATCGATCAGTAGGACTTTCTGATGCCTGCTTGTGTTGCAAGTTGCAGACCTGGACACAGAGAGTGAGCGGAGGAAGCGGAACGCATTGGGTTGTGTTTGCCCGTCGATGAGAGTTGATATTTCTCGAGTGTGTGCTTTTGGCGACTTGTATTGAAGATGGTGAAGACATTAATCAATAATGGTAGATGGTCAGTGTCGCATATTACCTTTGATCGAGGAACTTCGCGAACTCCTTGTTGTGTTTTGTCGAGTACTTCTTCCTATGTGGTTCGTACTCATACAGAGTTCTGTAAGCCGGTATGGGAAACTCTTGCCCTCTCTCTCTCTCTCTCTCTCTCTCCCTCTCCCTCTCTCTCTTTCTCTCTCTCTCTCTCTCTCTCTCTCTCTCTCTCTCTCTCTCTCTCTCTCTCTCTCTCTCTNTCTCTCTCTCTCTCTCTCTCTCTCTCTCTCTCTCTCTCTCTCTCTCTCTCTCTCTCTCTCTCTCTCTCTCTCTCTCTCTCTCTCTTGCAATTGGAGATATAACAGGAAAAGAAAGGTAGGTAGGTGATGACATTTTATTGTTATTTCTTGCCTTGCTCATGTTCCCTAGTATGTGGATTTGCTTCGAGTTTGCTCTTCTCCAGTTTGGCACAGAAGGGCACAACTTGGGTTAGAGCGGAGAGAAAGTAACCACGACTTGCGTTAGAGCGGAGAGAAAGTAATAGGGGGATGAGCGTTGCTTTTGTAGCCCAAAAATTAAACTTGTTTGCTGTCTGTATTTGTTTCCGACATTGGCAATGCCGTTCGTCAGCGTTAGTGACTGTGAGACTTTCATCGGTAACTCTCAACACCCTTGGACATTTTCTCGACTGAATGTGGTGTCATTTTTTTCTGAGCAGGTTCATTTGACAAAGTCCTGCAGTGTTCGTATGGCCCCCAAAATGACCTGGATCTGGAATTTCCATCCTTTTCTGAAATTCTATCAGTATTGGCATTCACATCAGTCTCACTCAGGGCATACTCAGGCTTGGACCTTCAGTTTTTTTTTTCAGACTTGGGCTTTCTTTCGGATGTACTTGAGCATCTTTCGTGGCAAAATGCAGTCAAAAAAAGTTTCTAGCACCTGCTAGGCTGCTACCTCTTTCGGCTTTTGCTTTCCGTCTGTTTGATCGGGAGCCTTAGCTGTTAACCTGTCAGGTCTGCAAAGGCTGTGGTTGTATTCATATGTTTTGTCTCAAGGTTTCGGAAGTTTTAACTTTCGACTTTCAACGTTGTGATTGGTTATAATGGTGCGAGTCCGGACGACCATCCTGCTTTGGATTTGAGTTAAAAAAAAAAAACAAAGGTGACCTTTTGTGTTACCTACCAGGCGGGCGGGGCCCGGGTTGCTGCAGATTGGCTCAGGTGGCCCAGCTGGGGCAGGTCTGCCCAGCACCAAAAAAGAAAACGGAAAAAAGCGAGGTTGTTTTTCCGGGCACCCGACTTGTGCCTGGATACACGCCCGGGTGCCCGGCCGGGCAAGACCCCCGGGCAGGGTTCCAGGCAGCCCCAGCGCAAAAAAAAAAACAAAGAAACGAAAATAAAAAAATTTCCAGGAAAAGAATATGTTGTGTACAATAGCAATACAAACAACTTTTGGCTGAGGGTCACATCAGAATTCCTCACGGAATCGTAGAAAAAAAGCACTGAAGGGTCCTTTAACCCCTCTTAGCCCCTTTAAAACAATTTATACCCCCCTTTCACCCCTTTAACAGCCAACTCTCGAAAAATGAAACGAGCCCGGATTTGGGGTCCTCTGGGAGAGCGCAGAAAGGCAAAAAAAGAAATTTAAAAATTCTTGCATGCTTGGGTACCCCGGCCGTCATGCCCGGGTGTCCATGTCATGCGGAATTGCCAAGCAAACATCTTTTGCCTGAGGGTGACCATGAAATTCCGCTATGCAATCCGAAATAAAAAATAAAAATAAAATAGTAAAAATACTGAATTATATCATACCCTTTCACGCCCCTTTCAGCCCCTTTGAGCCATTTCGAATCCAACTTATACCCCATAGACACCCGTTGATGAGATGTCACCAAACCAAAAGATAAGGCCGGATTTGGGCCCGTCCCATTTTCTGCAAAATTGCCCGACTGCCAAAAAAGAAAAAGAAAAAGAAAAATTTACCCCTGTTTCTGGTGTTTTGCCCGGGTACCCCGGGCAGGTCAACCTCCGCGCAAGCTGACCCGGGTTGCCCGGCTGGGCCCTCCGGAACCGACGACTCTTGTAACACTGGGCAGTGACCATCCATAAGATTGGTTAAACCACTAGTACCTTTGGACGATGGAAAAATAGCGGGCCTCCGGTGGGCCTCCGTCCTTTTCGGAGGCCGAAACGAAATGACGGCCGCCGATCAGATTTATCAATGGCAGCCATTGTCGGGCCCGGCCTCCGAAACTTTAGGAGTTTGGGAAAACGTCCACTTTTCCCTATTTTCCCACGCGCCAAAGGTATTAGTGGTTTAAGATGTACAAAACGAAAACAAAAAAAGGGATTGGTCCAGATCCCAAATATAATATTTTTGGGGATGGAATTTGTAATTGGATCTGTAGGCCTCAGCATACGGTAAGGTAAAGTCCGTATGACGTGTAGTCTGCGCCGGCCACCATGAACGTATCCATAAACAGGTTTGGTTCATCCTTGGTTCACCCGATTGAAAGCAAGTGTGCTCGATACGGTAAGCTGTAGTGTGGGACAATGCTTGCTCGACTTACAGCAGGCGAAGTTGGAATTGAAGAGAGAAAAGAATCAAGAAGAATGACAAGTGTGGGAATATGCATTGGCCAGTTAGTTTTGTTGAAGATGTATTTTTCGCCTCGTTCTCTGTGAAGATGCGCTCGGTTTTTTGCATGTTGCGAGTCTGCAAAGATGTTTTCGTCTTTCTCTGTTTTTCATAAGATAAAAAGAAAAAGGCAACGTCCTTGAGATACAATTATCGAACTGACCGCTCCTAGGCAATTTTAGAACTGCTTCGAGTTACCTAGGTATTTTACTCGTCTGCTTCGAGTGGAGCTCGAACTCAGGTCGGTATTTAAACTGTTTCAGGTGTCTACGGACTTCAGATACAGGAGTAGGTAGTCTGTGAAGAAGTTCAAATTGTTGGGCTCCGAGGCCCGATTCCCAGCACGTGCTGCTCCCCACAAATAAGATCTCTGAGCCATTAGACAAGGGCTGCCAGTAGGACAGACACGGGCTCTTATCACCGTTTGCAGCAGGGCGCCTCAGTCGGTGTTCTATATATAAAAAAAAAGAAAAGAAAAAAAAGAGATGTTACTCTCTATTTCTGGGATTTTGGGAGGAGCGTGATGGGGTCTTTGGTCTTAATCTATTTCTGAGTGACCAGATGCAGATGTATATGCAACGAAAACAAACAAACAAACAATGCCAAAAAACACTAGCCAGTTGTTCTGAATTGTGTCCTTGAAGCTTGCAGATGTCCTCGAAGCTTGCAAATGTCACCTAGAGCAGTGATTTGGTCACCCGTTTATAGATGTGTTTTAAATGGGTTAAAAGGGGTATTGACTTTCCAGGGGTATATTAAATATTAAGCGGGTTGAAAGGGGTATTGACTTCCCAAGGGTATATTAAATATTAAATGGGTTGAAAGTGGTATTGACTTCCCAGAGGCCTGGACCGACATGCAACGCGTAAATCGGTGTGCGGCGCCCGTTTTGCATTTTCTCGCAAAAAAAAAAAAAAAGTGTTAAAGTTTTCTGGAAATGCGAAAAAAACAAAAACAAGCACAATCCCCGCGTGACTCTGATGGCCTCATAATGACAGTGGGGTGGTGGCAGCACACTTCACGGGCATGCTGTTTCGAGGGTCCTGTGTGGTGTATGTTGTGCGGTTCATCTGAATGCGCCCGCGCGTCGGTGGCCTTCGCGTGCATGTGGGCGTAACGTGGAGGCATGTGCACCGCGTAAGCCCTTTGAACGAAAACACGAGTGGAAACAATCCAGCCGACAGGCGGACACTTGTTTCCATTTGTGGAGAGGGGAGGTCCTGCCCGCCCTCTATTCTGCCTTTCCATTTGTGGATAGGGGAGGTTTGGAAGGGGCCGTGGACGGTGGGACTCTTTCATCTCATCCGAAAGAACCATAGCACTCGGGTTGTAGGCATAGGTGGTGCTTCGGCGGCCAGATCGGTGGTGCGGTGCCGGCGACGGTGGGACTCTTGGTACCAGTTCTCGAGAACCGCCGTACGTGTCCCGTCTCCCAATGCTGTGTCTGAGAAGCAGACAGCGAGAAGAGCTCGCTGTGGCAGTGATGGCCGTCGCCGGCAGGATGGCGGAGGATGCATTCCAAAGCTTGGATGTGCTGCTGGGTTGTCGGACAATCAGGCCGCTGCTGTTGGGGCCTGATTTGAATCACACCGTCTTTGGTGGACAAGAGGATGATGACGACAGCGGGTGTGGACGGCGGTCTGCATTGGCTCTTGCCGACTATTCTTGAAATCTGCAATCTTCTGCCAAGACGTTGGCCTAGATGGTGGGTGACGCGGCAGACAGCTGGCCTATGGAACGATCTTCAGATCGCTGATGATGCAGAGAACGATCATTACATAGGACTGCTGCGCATGCGGCGGTCAACGTTCAATAGACTGTTGCGCAAGGTCGGTCCACTTCTCCAGAAGCAGGTGACAAGGTGGAGGGTGCCATTGCCTCCAGCAAAGAGATTGGCGTACGCTCTCCATAGATGGGCCCATGGTGACTCTCACTGGCACGGTTGCTCAGGTTATGGGATGGGCAAAACATCTGGGTTGCGCGCCATCAGAGAAGTGGCGGAGGCCATTCATGCGTCGTATCCGAATGTTGTTGGGTTCGGGGGGTTCGAAGAGCGCCATCGTCGAATGACCGAGTTTCAGTCCTTGGGTTTTCCAAATGTGTGGGGTTGCATTGACTGCACCCATGTGTATGTAGACCAGCCCCGATCGAAGGACGGCGACGACTACTGCTCCGGAAGGCACAATCGGTTCTCGATCGTAGCACAGCTGGTCGTCGATTTGGAGCTCAAGATCCTAGATTTTTGCTATGGCTTTCCAGGGACTGTGGGCGAGGGGCGGGCTTTGAAAAACGCGTCACTGTACAGGAGAGCCCTTAAGGGGTCACTATTTGTGGACGATCCTGAAGACCCCTTCCTTGGCGAGCGGCCTTCAATCCTTGGTGCGCCCGGCGGGTACTTGCTTGGTGATGGCGGGTATCCCAGCCTGCCTTGGCTTGTCATTCCATACGGGCGACAACCCGTGGTGACGCGGGCGATGCGACAGCTCGACGCTCTTCATAAGATAGTGAGGTCTTGTGTTGAGAGATTCTTCGGGGTGTTCAAAATGCGGTTCCAATTCTTCTACCGTCCGCATATTACCGACATCGCAAGGGAGAGGTTGGAGTTCCGCGCGTGTTGCATCCTTCATAACCTGCTTCAGGAGTGGGGTGACGTGCCAGAAGTCGACGATGAAGTGAGCGATGCGTCGTCTCCGGACGGTCCACAGCCGGACGTGGATAGGCGTGTTAATGGTTGTCCGCTGGAGTTCATGTTCGGGCGGGAACGCGGGCAGGCAGTGAGGGACGCATTGTGCACGGAAGTCCTCCGTTTGTGGGAAGCCAGGCGGGAGGCTTGACATGTGCCTTTTTGACTCCTGTTTTTTTGTGCACAAGGGTCGGTAGGCATACTCTCTGTGTGAGTGCAGTCGTGTTGTGAGTCTAGGTTGAGCACTTGAACAGTCCCGACAGTCGCTGGTGAGGTTGGGCTATGGCGGCCTGGGGTGGTCATAGGGACTTTGCGTACGAAAGACGTGCGCTGATCAACGAAATGGAGAAGACGGAGAAGGAGGTGGAACGCCTGCACCGGTTCTTGGTGGAGAGGGGAGATAGCATCACTGTTACACTGCGTACTGGGAGGACAGTTTGCGAAAGTGACATCTCCCTCGAGAACATCCATGCGAGGAGATGGGCTTCTTCT